CATAATTAATTAACACTGATATCTCAATTACTGATCATCACATTTGAATACAATTTGGTACATAAATGCTCTAGAACAATAGACAGGCCTGATTAATTTTGGGTTAAAATTTGTCCTTATTAATTCTCTAATTAGCATAATAATTCATAATTTTTTTGTTCTGTTCTGTTCTTATTAGTTACCTGATTTACATAATTAGTTTTCAGCTTTTCCATCAATATCTCATGTACAAGTAATTTTTAATTAATTTTTAATGTGTCTTCAATACTCTCAGCACACGGGAGTTCTTTCTAAGCTTTCTTTGATTTGAAAATGTTGTATTTTGGACATGTTTTGTCAGTTGTCATTCAAACTTGGTACATAGATTATACATGTTAGGATACATGTCCATGACGATTTATTTTGCAATTGGATCAAAGATGGTCGACTGGAATCTTGTTTTTTTTTTATGTGGTATCTTGGACGTGCTCTGTCAGTTTTCATTCGAATTTGGCACATACATGTACGTTATACATGTTAGGATGCATGTCCATGACAATTTGTTTCAAAATTTCGTCAAGGATGGCCGATTGACAGCCATCTGACTTTTTGGCTTTACTACTATATTTCCACAATTTATGTACCATTTTCATTCGTATTTGGCACATACATCATACATATCAGTGTGTTTCATAATCAGATCAATGATGGCCGAATAACGGCTGTTTTTATTTTTGGCCATATTACTACTACACCGAACACGTGTTTTGATGTAAATAAACAATCTGTTGTATACGCCACTTGGAACTCAAGTTTCAAGGACACACTCGCGACAACCCCTCCACTTTAATATGACGAGCACAAAGAGAACCTTTAAACATTTAACGGGACTGTGTCATTTTGAATGACTTGTTCTCAGTATACTGTGCACTGTAGTGACAAAGCGTGACAACTTGAATAATTATGTATCAAAAATGTCGAAGGACGATGACTGAGTATGAGTCGTGTTCAACAGTGTCATTGTTAAATAAGTGAATTACAATAAGCTGCATATCACCCGGATCAAAACTCACATGCATGCTTGCCACCATATAATATTGTGAGCAGAGCACGGTGGGTTGTGAGAAAATGTGTTTATCCACATAAATCTGGCGCATAATGGCGCAATGACCGCGGCTCTTTAATGAGTCCCCGTTCGAACGACCAAACCTGTTCATTTTTTGGCATGTGCCCCGGAGCTTTTGTTCAATTTCGGTACATGCATTATATGGGGGGGGGCAAAGGGGGTAGCTGGTACAGTTTTAGGGGAAATAAAAAGGGCTTTTTACAATTTACAAGGAAAAAAGACGTTTTTACAGTTTACAGTGAAAATTGAATGTTTACAGTTTACAGAGAAAATCAAGGTTATTTTACATTTTACGGAAAATTAAAAAAGAAAATCTAGAAAATTCTTGTACGTACCGAGAAAAATGACACATTTTTACAGTGTACGAAAAAAATATTTGATATTTGACATATACCATTCATATCGGAATACATGTTGATTTCGGTTTTTGAAAATGTGGTATCTTATGCATGCTTAGTCAGTTTTTGTTCAAATTTTTTACATACATTGTACATTTTAGATGACAAGTCAATGACAATTTGTTTTATAATCAGATCAAAGATGGCTGACTAGCGACCATCTTGCTTTTTGACCATACTACTATATCTCCAATGCTTAGGGACAATTTTTAATCACATTTGGCACATACATCATACATATTGAAACACATGTTGATTTCAGTTTGTTCCATAATCAGATCACTTCTATATTTAAATTACAGATCATAGTCGTTGCACGAAATCCAAAAGATGTCGCCGTATCTTTCTACTATTTTTATAAATCCGAGAAAGAATCATTTGGGGATTATGATGGTGACTTTCACCACTTTCTACGAATGTTCATGAACGGCAAAGGTATGTTTATGACCGTGTGACCGGGTTATTGGGACATGTAGCACTGACTGTAATTGAACTAGAATTATAGTTGGTGTTTCGTTTATAGTTCCTGACTCCACCAACGCCTTGGCACAATGCCAGTATTATTATATACCACTCACTACACCTCACTCTACTAACACCTAGATACGATGCTAGTAATATCTCATTATATAGCCTTGAATATATGCGGCGTCCAACTCACTACACATCACTCCACTAACGCATAGGTAGGATGCTAGTAATATCTCATTAT